GAACTATTTGCATTTCAGGAGTTGGTAGACGTCGCTTCTCTTTTCGTCGTGTTCTCCTGTCGTGTTAGGCAGCTCTGTTGGGAGGTTTCCAAGACGAGGCATCCCAGTCACTGTTGTCTTTATACCAACCTGTGACAAGAAACAAATTGTCAAGTCTCAGTTGTTATATTACACATTTTTCATGGTTCTTCTTTGGATAGTCTACGAAGCATTTCTTTTGACTCCACCTAAGCTGCCTTTCTGAGAGCGTACCATTGAGGATCTACTTGAAAACACATGCACAGTGCAGGCTTTTGATGTGTCAGGTCAAGCAGTGTTGCGCTGGCCGTCAATGGCTCAAAAATCACGGTGCTGGTTCTGTCAAGGAGGGTGACTTTTTCCTCCGCCTCCTCATCATTATGTTACCTGAAGAATGACAGCAAAAATATATTGATGAATACGTTTGAAGATTTTCTGATACGATAAAATTTATCCATATTTTTTTCCCATCTGGAGAAACTTATTGCTTTTTCTAACACAAAGTCGTGGTTTTGAGAGGAAGTTATTACATTATATCATGATGTACTAACGTTACTCATCACTCGTTCCCAGTAACAGGATAGATGTTGGTAATTAAGGCAGTAATATTATACGTTTGTAATACGTCTAAAGTGTTTCATGATGTTTTATTACGTTTATGTTTTGTGTTTTGATATACAGTATTTCACTTTATTTTTTAGGTACCAGGTTTTGTATATATGCCCCGTAGACGATGATCACACTCACCACCACCACCACACACTGCTCACACTCACCACACACTGCTCACACTCACCACACACACACACACACCACTACACACTCACCACCACCACCACACAGACACTCACCACCACCACACACTGCTCACACTCACCACCACCACCACACCCACACACTGCTCCCTCACCACACACACACACACACCACTACACTCCCACCACCACAGACCTCCCACCACCACCACACACCTCCCACTCCACCCATTACACCTCCCACCACCACCACTCCTCCTTACTCCTCACCACACACACACACCACCACACACACACACTCACCACACACACACACCACACCTCCCACCTACACCTCCCACCACACAGACACTCACCACTACCACCACACAGACACTCACCACCACCACCACACACTCCTCATACGCACCACACACTGCTCACACTCACCACACACACACACACCACTACACACTCACCACCACCACCACACAGACACTCACCACCACCACACACTACTCACACTCACAAGTTCATTATTGACGGCAACAGATGGTGACCTGCGACAAGACACACGAACCTTTTATTACCGTGGCGGCCTTAACAAACCCCTTCAGTATATCGTCCCAGAAGACGTCATTAATTAGTGTATAACACTAAGATCCTCCCGGCCAGAGTCAAGATGTCCTCTGTTACTGTCAGTATATTGAGAGAGAGAGAGAGAGAGAGTCACGTTCATTATTCTCATTCGTGCTTGACATCCGTGTACTGGTAGCCTGGGTGAGGGCATGTGTCACCCTCCTCCTACCAACACTCCCGTCTAACTACACCTTCTTCCACCTGTATCCTAACACCTCCAGTACACCGACACAAGATTCTCTGATTACTAGTGATAGTCGTTTCTTAAAGTACATATAAAACTTATTTCTACTTACAGTACTCTTCTAAAGCATTTTTTTTCTCGTTTAATAAGACAGTAATGTCAATAAACCAGTCTCAGAGTACATCCACTATGCCAGTAGAGGGCACAAAGTGTACAAGATCTTCCCAGAGTGCAAGGTCGACATTCGTCAATCCAAGCGGCGGCCCTTCAAGCCTTCCACCTAAAGTCTGAACAATTTGGTGGGGAAAATGTGCAGGAGGAGACGCTGTGGTGGCGGCTCTGAAATGTCCTCAAAACGTGAAGGAGTGGATGTGAAGTAGTGATCCAATAAGCGGGGGTGAGTTAGGGTCCCCTTAGTGCACGACCTAAGTGACGGTGTTAACACCAGGGAGACAGACATCTTTCATATGACGAACGTCTTGAAATTTCACTTATCTTGTGAGAGTACGTGGCTGATTGATGATTTCGAGCGCATCGTTTTTTGCCCCACACTGAAGCCTGTGAAGCGTTTTATCTATAGATTTAATGTAGAAAGTTATAGTTGGGTTCTGAGACGCCACCGCCCGTATGTTTAAATATCCCGCCGCTTACGATGGCCATCGGGTAACTATACATATATCTGTAAAAAAAAAAAAAATAGCCACCACGACCACTAGCCATATTTATCTACTAGCAATATACGTGACTTACAACTACCGGGTCACAGAAGAAAAAACTAAAGAGGGTATTTGGTAAAGGCTCAGTGACGCTCAGGGTCAGTTAACGTCCCTGGTCACATTATGAGGATATTAATGTGTTGCTCTGAGGCACCGGGAGATTTATTAGATTACCCCCGAGGGGGCTAGTTTATTGGGCACCCCTTGAA